AGAGAAATAATCAAAATACACTGCAACACCCCAGTCTACCACACAGTGGTGGTTATAGCTGAGAAATAATCAAAACACACTGCACCACACCAGTCTACTACACAGCGGTGGTTAGGAGAAGAGAAATAATCAAAATACACTGTAACACCGCAGTCTACCACACAGTGGTGGTTAGAAGAAGAGAAATAATCAAAATACACTGCGACACCCTAGTCTACCACACAGTGGTGGTTAGGAGAAGAGAAATAAACGAAATGCACTGCAAAACTCCAGTCTACCACACAGTGGTGGTTAGGAGAAGAGAAATAATCAAAATACACTGCACCAACCCAGTTTACCACACAGTGGTGGCTAGGAAAAGAGAAATAATCAAAATAAACTGCAACACTACAGTATAACATACAGTGGTGGCTAGGAGAAGAGAAATAATCAAAATACACTGCACCAACGTAGTCGACGAACAGTGAGGGTTGGGAGAAGAGAAATAATTGAAATACACTGCAACACCCCAGTCTCACAAACAATGAGGGTTAGGAGATGCGAAATATTCAAAATACACTGCAGCACCCCAGTCTACCACACAGTGGTGGTTAGGAGAAGAGAAATAATCAAAATACACTGCAACGCACCAGTCTACCTCACAGTAGCCTGCGTCACATCCGGACAAACTACGTAGTTTGTTCGGATGTGACGCAGGCTACCACACAGTGTTTGTAAGGATAGAGAGGAAAAAGAACCAAAATAGACTGCAACACCCCAGCCTAACACTGCAGTGGTAGCAGGAGATCACAAAAAATAATCAAAATATACTGCAACACACAGTCCACCAAATACTTGTAATACGGGACTCAAACATGCTAAATAAATTATAACGTATTTCGTAACTTTAATGAATGAGTAATGCTTGTCTTTGATTGGTCGGTTTAGCCATACAAACTTTGAAACTTGACTTACAGTCGCAAATTTTTATTTAACACAGAAATTATTACGAGGCGGGCAAGGCATTAGTTCTTCTAGATGACAGAATGTTTTTTTTTTCCTTTTAACACTGGCTTAGAGTCGATATCCCTGAAGTTGGCCCCAATTTTTAGCACCCCAATGAGTTGCAGGTATGTTTGGCATAGCAGACGAAATACACTGCTTCTCATATAGGTGACCACATCAACCGTCTGTATGCGCTAACGGTTTATAACTCGCTGATTCACTATTCCTCAGTACTGTGACATTTAGGGTAAGGTAATTATATAGGTGGGTGACAATGACGCAGTTTGTTTCCATCCAAAGTATCAAATTCAAAAAATAAGCAATCTGATCTCATAAAATTCAAAATTGTTAACCGATTTCAATTAAGATTTTCGGGAATTGGCAACAGGCATGAGCTCCTTACATTTATCGGCTTGATTTTCTTGTCGCTTGAAATTCGATTTCGGACTTTTGTACAAATTAGCTAAAACGTAAACATTGGCGCCCACCTATACAGTTCAATATTACACAAGATTTTAATTTGGTATAGTACAAAAATCAGTCAAATTATTTGGTTTCGGGATATTCTTGTTTCTTTTTTTTGTCGTTATTGTGTTTTCTTTCTAAAGAAAAAAAATTGGGTTGAGGTTAATATATCTATGACTTCATAACAAATTCATGCCCTGCAAATTAGCATTGGCAATATTGACGATCCCAGCTTCTAACCGTTTTTAATTCAACCCCCCAGATTATTCACTAAATTCCCATGTACAGATACCACTTTTTGAAATAATTAACAAGTTTGATCTATTTATTTACTATTTAGAGCAGCTGAATTCAAATAACAACAATGATATTGGAATGTATCACTATAACAATCTTTGTGTTCTTCAAACATGCCAACAGTCAATCTCACTGTGTTGGCACCTGCTATTCTGGAAGACTTTTCCCAGAGCCCCAAGACATCTTCCATGGAAAACATCTCAAGGGATACTCCTACAACAACATCACCACCGATGATCCAGTCAAGTGCTACTCATCTTGTGTCCAAGATTGTCGYTGTAAGGCGTGYCARATGMAAGATGCAAGATGTGAGTTGCTGGATGAGGACAAGACTTCCAAAACCTTAACAGATGAGCTAGGATACGTGTACTTTGATCTGAAGCAGACAATGTACAAAGGGGTGAGAAGCTTTGTGTATTGTTTTTTTTATTAGGTGCTATTTCAACATAATGTCACTTATTATTGTTTTTTCGTTTGAATAGCACCGACCCCCGATGGTCTCTCAAGGTTGTTATAATGGCTGCTGTCGATCTCAGCCCTGTATGAACGGAGGGACATGCGTAGAGCATTGTAACTCACCCAAAAATAAATTTACCTGCATTTGCCAGAAATGGCATCACGGGAAAATATGCGAAAAGACAATTTCATCGTGCATGGATGTCAGGAGTGCTTCATCAATGATTCCTAAGGATGGTGTGTACGAGCTCAAACGTTTCGACAATCGAGCCATCATTCCAGTTTACTGTGCTTTTCAGGATGATCCAAGGCAGGCTTGGACTCTTATTGAGTCCTTTTCCAGGAATCAAAGCTTATTTAAAGGAACACCTTTTTACATAGGTAACACCCAGAATAGAAATTTACCACCAAGCTGGGACCTATTCAGGTTAGGTTTACTCAGAGTGCAGTATTTCCGTCGCAGGTCCACCTTGTTCAGAGCAACATGCGATTTCCCAAACAGAATGTCATTGACACCTGACCTTCTGATTGGTAGGTTGAGTGACGTGGACATTATAAACGAAAAAGACATTGCAGGATGTAGAAGGTACAAGTTTATTGACATAAGGGGACACAACTGTACGAATTGCACAGCTAATACACGTCACGGAACATCATTTTCGTGGCACTTTCATCTTGATATTACTCATCAAGGAGATGGTTGCGATTTCCATCCACCAGTCACTGTACAAGATGCTGATAATTTTGGATTTTATGATGATATTGATGGAGCATCGAAATGCACTGCAACACCCCAGTCTACCACACAGTGGTGGTTAGGAGAAGAGAAATAATCAAAATACACTGCACCACACCAGTTTACCACACAGTGGTGGTTAGAAGAAGAGAAATAATGAAAACACACTGCACCACACCAGTCTACCACACAGTGGTGGTTAGAAGAAGAGAAATAATCAAAATACACTGCAACACCCCAGTCTACCACACAGTGATGGTTTGGAGAAGCGAAATAATCAAAATACACTGTAACACCGCAGTCTACCACACAGTGGTGGTTAGGAGAAGAGAAATAATCAAAATACACTGCAACACC